TTAATTCATAATGTAAGAAGTTAGACTTGGCCACCAGATCCAATACCCCAAGTTAAGAGATGAATAATGGTGAGGGGCAACTAGAAAACATTTGATCATTATGACACCATTAAGGGGAGTGGATGGAGCAGTCCAGTAACCCCAAGTGTGTCTTCAGAGTACTAACATGAGCTTTAGAGTTACAGAAAAGAAATGTTACAAAGCACAAAAGATTTCCATAAGTATACAATGTAAGTGAAGGTATAGATTTTTTAAAATTATTGTCTGAGTTTCTGTTTTGGAGATGTTTACTTTGTTGTTCTTGAAATACAACGTGACTACAGATTTAAGACAATTTGATTTGCTCTTTGCATCTTTGATTGGGGAAAGAAGTTAGACACTTCTAAATGATCAGCATATCTAAGCAGAGGACTAAGCAGGCAATCCCAAAGAAAGGCAATAAACACAAATGAAGGCAGAGGTGCTAGACTCTTATCCTATCTTTGTCTTTCAGGCCGAAAGGAGATGTTTTTGTAGCAAGGTTGATCTCGAAGTCCCTGTTATAAAAGTATTTAAATCTTAAACAAATAGTTAATTTATATTAATTGGTGAGAGAAAATAGACATGTCTCTAGGACTATTTTGTCTGTGTTCCATATATATTTCTTTTTTTAACTAAAATACAGTTAGTTACTTTGTTAAGAAAAGGTTTTTTTCTAAACTCCACAAAAAATAAGACAGAAATGAGCCACCAGGTATATAAAATAAAAAAGTTATTGATATTAGGCACATTTTTGGTAAAGATGCTTAAAGGAAAAAGGAGATGCTTTTAGACAAGAAAGGGTTTCACATGGTACAATAAGATTGTATGTTAAAATGGAAAAGAAAACTGGAGTGTAAGAATGTAGTGATAGAATCAACTCGATGCTGAGCAGCAGCTGTCTACCTCTCACAGACGCTGACAGGCACCAGACCCATAGTGTCTGTGAGACCCAAGTGCCACAACATCATCCTGGAAAGTGAGTTTATACCACAAGGGTGTCACATGCAGCTCCCCACCCCCTTCTCTGTCTCCAGCCTAGGGATCAGGGAGTCTGCCTGCAGGCTTTTGTTGTGAACCTTCCCACTTTCAGAGAGTAAGAACAAACTTCTATTTCTGCCACTTGGGCTCTGATTCTCCTTAGAGACTCCATGCTGTCTGTCTCGTGAATATTCAGAATAGCACCAATCATAAGGGCTAACTGTGAAAAGAATTATATATATATATATAATGATTAACGGATTTATCAAATACATCCATTCTAATAGATGCACTAATGTAATATTATTAGACAGTAAAAAAGGAATGAAAGACCATACATGCTACTAGCACAGATGAACCTTTAAAACATTATGAGTAAAATAAGCTAATTACAAAAACTCATCGACAACAATATTCAAGTCCATAGAGACAGAGGGTAAATTAGTGGTTGCCATTAACTGGTGGTGAGGGCTATCAGGATTGGAGGATGGGAATGCATGGTGACTGTAAATGGATAGAGTTTCTTTTTGGGGGTGCTGATGATATTGGAAAATAAGCTGCTGGGGAACAACTTTGTGAATGTATTTCATACTCATGAATTATGCACTTCTTTTTTTTTCTTTTTGCAGTACTGGGTGATTGAACCTCCTAGGAAAGTGTTCTATTGTAAGACCCCCCCAGAGGCTCAGGCCCCCAGGATCTTGGTCCAGGACGTCGGCCACCCCAATCACCATGTGGAGGCAAAAGCTTGATGCAAATAGCAAGAGGCTTTATTGCAGTTGTTTAACGAGCTAACCCCATGTTAGCTCGGGCCTTTCATCCATCCACCATGGCGGATGGCTAGGAAAGATGCTGCGAAGCCACAGCATAGAGATCTTATAGGGCAGCGTAAGGGGACTGTCTAGGGGTACATACAGGCTCAGGATTGGTGTGCCTCCGGGCTTGGAGGGTTTGCCCTGTATTGATTGGCCAACTGGTTGTTATGGCCCATAGGCCCTCCCAGGGCGGTTGCTATGCTCTGCACGTCATTGCTGTGCACTTGTCCGTAAAGCACACCCAGAGCCGTAAAACATAGTACCACCAGCTAACTTCTGATTGGTTCCTTGCCACCAGGCAGGCATCTGACCTCCTAGTGACCAAGGCAAGGTCAGGCAAGCACATGTTAGGCTGTTATGGTTGCTGAAATGGGGAGCTGGTCCCTTCACTATCATTAACTGAGCTGCATCTTCACTCTTAACTGTACATGTTTTGTAAGTAAGTTTTAAAGAATATGGATAAAACTTGTATTTTAAATACATAATTAATTATTTCCATTTAAGAATAAAATATTGCCTCTCCATGGTGGAAGAGTTAAGATGTTCAAAGCAAAGAACCATGGCTCTCATCTTAAAGGAAATAAGAGATAGTTTATTTTGGAGCCACTATGAGTGATTGTGGCCTGGCAGATTTAGGTTACCAGAATGTTCCGATGTGGAAGCAGTTTCATGAAGTTTTATAGACTAGCAGAACAAAGAAAGTCATAAATCAAGGTAGTTTAAAAATACAGTGGTGACTGGTATAATAAGGGACTTTGAGAGCCCGTCCGACGTGAGGGGATGCTCTCTCAGCCTGGACACATGGGGGAGGGCCTAGGCCCGGCCCAGGATGATGTTATGGAATTTGGGGAGCCCCCGTGAAGGGCCCTACCCTCCATGGGGAGCAGAGGGGGAAGGGAGTGGGTGGGGGTTGGAGGGAGGGGGGAGAGGGAGAAGGGATTGACATGTGAAATTATAATTTTGTAAGAGGGAGAAGTGACTGGCATGTGAAATTATAATTTTGTAAAAATTATATTTAAAAAATACAGTTGTGAGTACATCAGAGAAACCAGTACAGCAATATGAGGGAAGCTTGTCTACAAGCCTAAGATGCTATCTGATGACAGTTTTAGCTTTTGGGTTATTGGAAACCGATAGTCTGCTAATATATTTCAAAATACTTTTTATCTATTAGTCACAGAATGTCATTTCTGACAAGGAATGGATATTAGGGTGTGGTGGTGGCTAAAGCTAGCCCAAGATAAGGTATTTAGTCTCTGGACTTGCAACATTCCAACCTCTCCACATCATTGCAGTTCTAATCAGCCAATCAGTCCCTGCAGACACAGCTTTTTTTTCAGGAGGTCTTCCCTTTGGAAATGGAACGGTATTCTGGACTCATCATTGGCCTCAGTGTTTGGCATAATCCAAACTCAGTTATGACCATAATCTGGTCAGGTTGGCAAAGGAAGTCAATATTGTTGATCTTGTTTTTAGCACTATTCCTATTTCCATGGACACTTTATGCTTGGGCCTAATGAACAAAGGCTCACATTGAAGGATAGGAAGAGGAACTAAATAATATCTATGGAAAAATAATTTCTTCCTGTCAGCTATTGCATTTCTTCTAGAATGCAATAGAAGTTGGGTTTCGTTAACTGAATATAGGCATGGATTATTCAGATGGGAATGTGCCTTGTGTGTACATTTCTATCTCAAGACCTATTCAAATGTGTAAAAACTGACAGAACTTTAGTCAGGGTATCCGCCATGAGAGAGCCCTGTGGCCATTTCTTTGCTGCCATTTATACCTTCTTTGAGCTGTTGCCTTAGAGCGGAGGTCATGAATCTGGTCTCTTCAACACTGCCTCTCCAGAGTAACTTTCACTGACAAATAATGCTTTCTTCTCAAGTCTGGGAAAGTTGCTTAGCACAGGGCTCTCTCTTGAAATGTGAACTCTAGACAAGTTGTCACTTGAAAAACTAATAGATATAATATTTAAAAATTATAGCACAGGGCTTGCTCAGCTATGTTGTGAGCTGAGCACAGAAAATAACTTTAAATTTTTATCACAATGTTTAGTAACACGGAATGAAAAAGATACAAGGCATTACATGGTATTCTATGAAGGAAAACACATCACTGCAGGTTAAGTATTCCTTGCAATAAATGCCTATTTTCAGAAAAGCTTTAGCCTGCAGAGGGGTTTGTTCATTTGCCTTGTGTTGGGCACACTTGCCTAGGCTTTGCCTGTTGAGCATCCCTAATCTGAAATCCAAGATACCTTAAAATGTATAGCTAGAAGGTTTTATGCATATTCTTTTAGAGGTCAAATGGGAGTCAGACAAAGCCCTCTAGGAAAAGAATGGAATCATAAGAGTCTTAGCACCATGAAGACAGCACTATAGATAGGGCTATTTGCAGAGAGTAAATATATTTAGGGCACAATGGGACAGCAAGGTTGATATGGAAGAATTCAAAGAGACATCTCATCTCAGCTGCTTGGAGTGGATCCTGGGAACAGGTGGCAGCTATTCTGAGCCCTACCCTTGGTTGACAAGGTTCAGAGTCCTGTTATTCCACACACCCATACTTAGCATGACATCTAATCTATTGTGCAATCCTTTGAGGCAAGTATCATCCCCATTTCATAGATGACAAGAATGACCCTTTCAGAAAAGGATGCATTAGAAATGCCAAATTCATGCCTTTAGCACCAAGTTCCAAAGGTAATGTAAGTTTTGCTTATTTTACATTCAAACAGCAGTTTAAAATGTTTTAATTGCCATTCTAAACTTGTTTAATAGTTCACTTGCTTGCTTTTGCGTTTTAAAATTATTATTATAGCAATTGTAATCCATATTCTTTAACATATAAAGAGCAATAGGATATTAGAGGACCCAGAAAAAGAGGCCACAGTTTGAACTGATTTAGTTACAACCAGGAAAGTTTGGAGGTGGGAAATCAGCAGGGGAACAGCAGGAATTTCCAACCACCTGATGGTTGAGTACATGTGGGACCTATTCAGGTTTGTCCTGTAGGGATAAACATTGTTAGTCTTTTAATGTACACTTCCATAGTTTTCGTTGTTCTCAGAAGCATTCTGCAAGCATATTTACATTTTATATAAACAGGCTGATGCTGTATATGGAGTTCTGCAAACATTTTATTGTTATTTTACAATGTACATGCACATGGGTGAAAATCCTGTACTAAAAGACACAGAGCACTGTAGTTGGGTCAAAAGGCTGCTGGTAAGGACGATGATACCTAAAGCAGAGTTTTGGCTGAAGGTTAAAGCACAAGGCCTGGCAAGTATCTACCAGGAAAAGCAGGGCCAGCAGTGTTCTTTCTTATCTGAGACACCAGAATCGAAGGCCAAAGGCATTAAAGGTATGGGATGTCATGTAGGCCCCTCTGGCTCCTGCCCCCTCCCCTCATTCCCCTGACTCCCCGTTGGCCCCTGGGGACTAGCGCATCCTGTGCATCTCTTGGCATCCAGTGAAAACCTCCCATTTTCTGTCTCTTCCTCAGCTCTTCCTGAGCCCTTGTCATATCTGCACACTCTCTCATCATCTCCTCACTGCTTACATGCCTGTCCTGTAAGTCCTCCTGGGAGTTCTTGGGAGAATCGTCTGTCCCCCTGTCTGTTTTTCGTTTGGCTTTCCGGGGCACATAATCTTCAGCAGGGCGCTTTTCTGCTGCGCGCGCCTCGCTGGCTGGCTTTGCCTGGGGATCATGCTTGCCCTCCCCTTCAGACTTGCCCTGATTTTCTGGCTTCCCCTCAACTTTCTGTTGTCCCTGCTCACCTGGCCCTCCCCCCTCCTCTAGCTTCCCCTGGCGTGCTGGCTTCCTCTCTGCATCTGACTTGTCTTCATCTGCCTTTCCTCCCTCTTCTGTACTTCCTTCGTCTTCTGCCTTTCCTTTGTTTTCGGGCTTTCCTTCATTTTCTTTGTAGAACTTTTCCATGTTGCGATTTTCCTTTGCTGCTTGTCCTAGAAGACAAAGAAAAGAACACTAAGGACCTACAGACCTGCAAGGTTTTAAAAGCTGCTTTCCTTGATTCATAGATCTGCTAACCCAAAATCCTAATCCATCTCTCAGGTGGACTCTTACACTTCCATTCCTTTTCCTTTCTCCATGCACTTGATACATATTCACGTGAACCAACTTGGCAGGAAATCCCAAGGGTGTTTCTCCCTACTGTTAAAGCAACGCCCCAAGAAAGAAATGTGGAGAATAATGGTTTCTAAACTTTGTTCTGGCTCTGCCCAGAGAGGCACTGTGTAGTTTCAACTTACAAAGAACTACAGGCACCCTGCAGGACATTTTCATTTTTTTCCCCTCATCCTTACACTTATATTAAGGTGTTCTGGTATTCTCGGAGATCATGGCAAATACCATTCTTTCTCCCTACTTTCATGGCCTCCTCTTTAGCCTCACCAGGTACAAAAGGATCACATTCTCTTAGGGTCTTGCAATGTGCCTTGAAATTGCTATAAGGGAAGTTGGAGGAGGGGGCAAGCAGTGGCTTCCCCTGCCTTTGCTCTCCTTTCAGAGGTGAGGGGGA